ATACGTTTCGGATCATTGCTATTGTTCGTCTAAAATCCGTCTGTAGGGGGACATGGCCGACCGAAGACTGGCCTCCCTAGCACTGTTCCGCCTGCTCGTCCCTGGCTCAAGCCGTCCTTGACTCGAGCCCCGAACAGCACTCGCCTGCTACATAACACGGTGTTCCACACCACCTGAGTCACAGCAGATCCATGGCGCGCGTCGTGAAGTTCTCCCTGGCGACGTTCGCTGTCCTGCGTGCTGGCGCCCTCGACTCGGCAGCGGAGGCGGAGGCGGAGGAGTTCAGCGCCGGGGCCCTGGCAGCGGAGGTTCAGGAGTCGAGTGGCCACAGGGCGTACTTGGACGTTACCGTTGGGGCGGTCAGCGCCGGGGCCCAGGCAGCGGAGGTTCAGGAGTTGAGTGGCCACGGCCACAGGGCCTACATGGACGTCACCGTTGGGGCGGTCAGCGCCGGGGCCCAGGCCGCGGAGGTGCAGGAGTTGACTGGCCACCGCCAGAGGGCGTATTTGGACGTCGTCGCCGGGGCGGTCAGCGCCGTGGCCCAGGATTCGAGAGACCCGGAATGGGGGCGATGCGAGCGGAGACGATGGCTTGCAGCACTGTTTGCCAGCATTTGAGCAGGATTGGCGGTTCGCCAGCATTTGAGCAACGTATTGATGGGCAATGCCGCTTGTGCAACAGCAGTCGCTGACGATGTTCTAGACGCGTCGCGGAACCCCAGCAGCCCACCTAGAAACGATGCCCAGGCGAGTTCCCCTGATGAGGCATGTGGGGGAGCACGCAGTGGAATACCCCAAGAGAGGGAGGATCGAGGAGGAAACAGAGGAGGGGGAGGAGGAGGGGGAGGAGGAGGAGGAGGAGGAGGTGGAGGTGGTGGAGGAGGAGGAGGAGGAGGTGGAGGTGGAGGAGGAGGAGGAGGGGGAGTGGGGGAGGGGGGAGAGGGAGGGGGAGGGGTGGCAAACACCGCAGTAACATTAATGATTTGGGCCTTCTCGCCGGGGCCTCTTGGGGCGTCTTTGATGCCTCTGGGGGTCCTTTTGGGGTCTCTTGGGGGCTTGTGGGCATCTCCAGTAGGGCAGGATGTGGCCCGAACCTTCTTGAACAGTTAATGATGTTTGCCTTCTCGCCGAGGCCATCGTGGATGCTCCAACGACCGCGGAATCTCCCCTCCATGTCCAGGGTGAGGGGTAGGGGGAGAGGTAATTCCCTCCCCGAAGGGGAAGAAGGGGTTTTGGAAGAGGAAACGCTCTGAACCACTCACGCCAAGAGGGCTGGTGGGATTCCGGGCGTTAGCTGTTGTCGGGCACCGTTCCCACTGCTGCCGTCCTCATTGTGGAGCCTTTCCAAAGGACGCCGAGGTGGATGAGCTCGATGCCGGAGATCGCCTCAAGGGTGCACGCAGGCGGGCCCGTGAGCGCGCGATCGCGGCACAGACCGCGGAGGACGTCGCCAAGACGGGTTGCGCTCAGCTTGGTGGCGACAAGTGGTTCTCGGATGCGCACGGCGAGCTGTTCCAGGTGAAGCAGGACCATTGCTCGATCACGTTCCCGCTGAAGACCAGAACGGGGAAGGTCGAGAAGCGCGGCGTCATCCGGGGGGCCAAGGTGCTTGTGGAGCCGCCCTTCCCCGAGGGCATGGTGGCGGGAGCCAGCGTCAAGTTCGACAATGGCGCCCAGTGGGAGCGCAAGTGGTAGGCGCCACACATGGTCCTGGAGTACCGCCTGCTCCTGCTCCCCTCCCTGCTGCGATCAGTTATCTGTTCATGTTTCTCTTCTGAAGTGGCGGAGTCTGGAAGTCCGATGACGCACAATCATTGGGCAGCAAAGCGAAAAAGACGGGGAGAGATGGCGGGTGCAGCGCGGCACAGCAGCCGTCGGCCAGCCATGCAGAATGATGGGGGGGGGTCAGGGTATTGCCCTGTGATGTCTGACAGCGTCGGAATCATCATTGGGGCAGCGCGATTCACGGGCGATTTGGCTCTACAGCAGAGCTGGTGGCTCCTCTGAAGCCAGGGGACCCCACCTTGGCAACAACAATCAGGACCCGCCCCCCCTGCGAAACTTGGCGGAGTTCCGCCCCTCCTCCCGCAAACTCCCCCCCGTCCGACCCCCGCAGCCCAAGGCAAGAGGGGGATGGGGGTAGAAACGGGGCTGCCCGTTTCCTGCGCGCAAGGGCCTGACTCCGCAACTGGAGCAGCAAAATAAGACAACGCTTCGAACATAAGGCAACGCTTCGAACAATTCAACATCTGAGCCGGGAAATGCACCTGAGAATAGTTTCAGGCAATATGCGGATACTTTCCTATCAGAAGTCTGACCGAGAAAGCAAAATGGGGCGGTTTTGAACCCCTCTCCCTGTTGTCGCGCCAGTAGTCAGCGACTACAACGGCGATCTCGACGACGACGAGCGACGACGACGACCAAAGGCGACGATGGCCAAGGACGACGACGACGGCGACGAACGAACGACGACGAACGAACGACGACGAAGACGACGACACCGACAAGCGTGACGACCGACGACGACGACAACCCGGGCGGAACATGAATCAATCGCCATTCAAGCGAGCGGTCTGACATTCACGGGCGGGTTAAACGGGCGCACCCTGCCCCCTTTATCAGGCGATCGCAAACATGCATCAAGCGGGCATCGTTTAGCGACGGGTCCCGTTTCCATGGGAAATCGCGGATTTCTGCCGACGAACGAGGCGGCACCGGCCGCACTTTCGGGGATGGCACCTCCCCCGATCCATGGATTTGGCGACCGCGCGCCAGAGATCGTTAATCCATGTTTGCGCGCACCCGACCTTAGGATCTAGACGTCAGAGAGAGAGAGAGAGGGGAGTGGATAGCGCTGCTGGGATCCCCATGCAAATGCAGCGCTTCGTCACGTCCGTGCTCTGTTTCTCACCCTTCTTCGTCGCGACGCTGGCGCCTCAGGATAGCTCACTGATGTTGATTGTGGTGCCCATAGGCAGGCTGGCGCAGCACGCTGGTGCCGCAGGGGCGGCTGTGACGCTCTGAGGTTGGGGAATGGCCTTAAGTCGGGCATGTCCCTCTACAGGAGGAACGTTCGAAATTGGTTTTAGAAATAGTCTGGGGACGAGTTTTTATTAATGTTTACTGTTTTTCCCTACATCCTGAGTGGGGTTCTTGTTTTCCCAGAACACCCTCTCCTTCCCACCCACCTCCCGCTCCATCTTCCATACATCACAATATTATTCCTACCACACACACCATACCATACCACAGTTCCTACCACACATACCATACCATACCATACCATAACATACCACACCATACGTACCATACCGTACCATACCATACCATGGCGTACCATACCATACCGTACTCCAGGGAGGCCCCGCCTGAGCGAGGAGGGTATCGGAATACCATACTATTTACATGGTTTCGTGCCCCTCCCACCCCTCCAGGGAGGCCCCGCCTGAGCGAGGAGGGTATCGGAATACCATACTATTTACATGGTTTCGTGCCCCTCCCACCCCTCCAGGGAGGCCCCGCCTGAGCGAGGAGGGTATCGGAATACCATACTATTTACATGGTTTCGTGCCCCTCCCACCCCTCCAGGGAGGCCCCGCCTGAGCGAGGAGGGTATCGGAATACCATACTATTTACATGGTTTCGTGCCCCTCCCACCCCTCCAGGGAGGCCCCGCCTGAGCGAGGAGGGTATCGGAATACCATACTATTTACATGGTTTCGTGCCCCTCCCACCCTCCAGGGAGGCCCCGCCTGAGCGAGGAGGGTATCGGAATACCATACTATTTACATGGTTTCGTGCCCCTCCCACCTCTCCAGGGAGGCCCCGCCTGAGCGAGGAGGGTATCGGAATACCATACTATTTACATGGTTTCGTGCCCCTCCCACCCCTCCAGGGAGGCCCCGCCTGAGCGAGGAGGGTATCGGAATACCATACTATTTACATGGTTTCGTGCCCCTCCCACCCCTCCAGGGAGGCCCCGCCTGAGCGAGGAGGGTATCGGAATACCATACTATTTACATGGTTTCGTGCCCCTCCCACCCCTCCAGGGAGGCCCCGCCTGAGCGAGGAGGGTATCGGAATACCATACTATTTACATGGTTTCGTGCCCCTCCCACCCTCCAGGGAGGCCCCGCCTGAGCGAGGAGGGTATCGGAATACCATACTATTTACATGGTTTCGTGCCCCTCCCACCCCTCCAGGGAGGCCCCGCCTGAGCGAGGAGGGTATCGGAATACCATACTATTTACATGGTTTCGTGCCCCTCCCACCCCTCCAGGGAGGCCCCGCCTGAGCGAGGAGGGTATGGATGGTTTCGTGCCCCTCCCACCCCTCCCCCGCCTGAGCGAGGAGGGTATCGGAATACCATACTATTTACATGGTTTCGTGCCCCTCCCACCCCTCCAGGGAGGCCCCGCCTGAGCGAGGAGGGTATCGGAATACCATACTATTTACATGGTTTCGTGCCCCTCCCACCCCTCCAGGGAGGCCCCGCCTGAGCGAGGAGGGTATCGGAATACCATACTATTTACATGGTTTCGTGCCCCTCCCACCCCTCCAGGGAGGCCCCGCCTGAGCGAGGAGGGTATCGGAATACCATACTATTTACATGGTTTCGTGCCCCTCCCACCCCTCCAGGGAGGCCCCGCCTGAGCGAGGAGGGTATCGGAATACCATACTATTTACATGGGTTCGTGCCCCTCCCACACCCTCCAGGAGGCCCCGCCTGAGCGAGGAGGGCATCAAGAAAATGGGTCCCACGAAACCGTTAAATCTCTTTATGTGGGGAAACTCCGTTAGCATAATTGAATACGTTTCGGATCATTGCTATTGTTCGTCTAAAATCCGTCTGTAGGGGGACATGCCCGACCGAAGACTGGCCTCCCTAGTACTGTTCCGCCTGCTCGTCCCTGGCTCAAGCCGTCCTTGACTCGAGCCCCGAACAGCACTCGCCTGCTACATAACACGGTTGTTCCACACTACCTGAGTCACAGCAGATCCATGGCGCGCGTCGTGAAGTTCTCCCTGGCGACGCTCGCTGTCCTGCTGCGTGCTGGCGCCCTCGACTCGGCAGCGGAGGCGGAGGCGGAGGAGTTCAGCGCCGGGGCCTTGGCAGCGGAGGTTCAGAGTCGAGTGGCCACAGGGCGTACTTGGACGTCACCGTTGGGGCGGTCAGCGCCGGGGCCCAGGCAGCGGAGGTTCAGGAGTTGAGTGGCCACGGCCACAGGGCCTACATGGACGTCACCGTTGGGGCGGTCAGCGCCGGGGCCCAGGCCGCGGAGGTGCAGGAGTTGACTGGCCACCGCCAGAGGGCGTATTTGGACGTCGTCGCCGGGGCGGTCAGCGCCGTGGCCCAGGATTCGAGAGACCCGGAATGGGGGCGATGCGAGCGGAGACGATGGCTTGCAGCACTGTTTGCCAGCATTTGAGCAGGATTGGCGGTCGGTTTCGCCGCGAACGTAGCCGTTTGATGGGCAATGCCGCTTGTGCAACAGCAGTCGCTGACGATGTTCTAGACGCGTCGCGAACCCCAGCAGCCCACCTAGAAACGATGCCCAGGCGAGTTCCCCTGATCAGGCATGTGGGGGAGCACGCAGTGGAATACCCCAAGAGAGGAGGATCGAGGAGGAAACAGAGGAGGGGAGGAGGAGGAGAGGAGGAGGAGGTGGAGGTGGTGGAGGAGGAGGAGGTGGAGGTGGAGGAGGAGGAGGAGGGGGAGTGGGAGGGGGGAGGGGGAGGGGGGAGAGGGAGGGGGAGGGGGGCAAACACCGCAGTAACATTAATGATTTGGGCCTTCTCGCCGGGGCCTCTTGGGGCGTCTTTGATGCCTCTGGGGGTCCTTTTGGGGTCTCTTGGGGGCGTGGGGGCATCTCCGGTAGGGCAGAATGTGGCCCGAACCTTCTTGAACAGTTAATGATGTTTGCCTTCTCGCCGAGGCCATCGTGGATGCTCCAACGACCGCGGAATCTCCCCTCCAGGTCCAGGGTGAGGGGTAGGGGGAGAGGTAATTCCCTCCCCGAAGGGGAAGAAGGGGTTTTGGAAGAGGAAACGCTCTGAACCACTCACGCCAAGAGGGCTGGTGGGATTCCGGGCGTTAGCTGTTGTCGGGTACCGTTCCCACTGCTGCCGTCCTCATTGTGGAGCCTTTCCAAAGGACGCCGAGGTGGATGAGCTCGATGCCGGAGATCGCCCCAAGGGTGCACGCAGGCGGGCCCGTGAGCGCGCGATCGCGGCACAGACCGCGGAGGACGTCGCCAAGACGGGTTGCGCTCAGCTTGGTGGCGACAAGTGGTTCTCGGATGCGCACGGCGAGCTGTTCCAGGTGAAGCAGGACCATTGCTCGATCACGTTCCCGCTGAAGACCAGAACGGGGAAGGTCGAGAAGCGCGGCGTCATCCGGGGGGCCAAGGTGCTTGTGGAGCCGCCCTTCCCCGAGGGCATGGTGGCGGGAGCCAGCGTCAAGTTCGACAATGGCGCCCAGTGGGAGCGCAAGTGGTAGGCGCCACACATGGTCCTGGAGTACCGCCTGCTCCTGCTCCCCTCCCTGCTGCGATCAGTTATCTGTTCATGTTTCTCTTCTGAAGTGGCGGAGTCTGGAAGTCCGATGACGCACAATCATTGGGCAGCAAACCGAAAAAGACGGGGGAAGATGGCGTGTGCAGCGCAGCACAGCAGCGTCGGCCAGCCATGCAGAATCATGGATCATAGGGGGGGTCAGGGTATCGCCCTGTGATGTCTGACAGCGTCGGAATCATCATTGGGGCAGCGCGATTCACGGGCGATTTGGCTCTACAGCAGAGCTGGTGGCTCCTCTGAAGCCAGGGGACCCCACCTTGGCAACAACAATCAGGACCCGCCCTCCCCTGCGAAACTTGGCGGAGTTCCGCCCCTCCTCCCGCAAACTCCCCCCCGTCCGACCCCCGCAGCCCAAGGCAAGAGGGGGATGGGGGTAGAAACGGGGCTGCCCGTTTCCTGCGCGCAAGGGCCTGACTCCGCAACTGGAGCAGCAAAATAAGACAACGCTTCGAACATAAGGCAACGCTTCGAACAATTCAACATCTGAGCCGGGAAATGCACCTGAGAATAGTTTCAGGCAATATGCGGATACTTTCCTATCAGAAGTCTGACCGAGAAAGCAAAATGGGGCGGTTTTGAACCCCTCTCCCTGTTGTCGCGCCAGTAGTCAGCGACTACAACGGCGATCTCGACGACGACGAGCGACGACGACGACCAAAGGCGACGATGGCCAAGGACGACGACGACGGCGACGAACGAACGACGACGAACGAACGACGACGAAGACGACGACACCGACAAGCGTGACGACCGACGACGACAACCCGGGCGGAACATGAATCAATCGCCATTCAAGCGAGCGGTCTGACATTCACGGGCGGGTTAAACGGGCGCACCTTGCCCCCTTTATCCGGCGATCGCAAACATGCATCAAGCGGGCATCGTTTAGCGACGGGTCCCGTTTCCATGGGAAATCGCGGATTTCTGCCGACGAACGAGGCGGCACCGGCCGCACTTTTGGGGATGGCACCTCCCCCGATCCATGGATTTGGCGACCGCGCGCCAGAGATCGTCAATCCATGTTTTTCGCGCCCCCGACCTTAGGACCTAGACGTCAGAGAGAGAGAGAGAGGGGAGTGGATAGCGCTGCTGGGATCCCCATGCAAATGCAGCGCTTCGTCACGTCCGTGCTCTGTTTCTCACCCTTCTTCGTCGCGACGCTGGCGCCTCAGGATAGCTCACTGATGTTGATTGTGGTGCCCATAGGCAGGCTGGCGCAGCACGCTGGTGCCGCAGGGGCGGCTGTGACGCTCTGAGGTTGGGGAATGGCCTTAAGTCGGGCATGTCCCTCTACAGGAGGAATGTTCAAATTGGTTTTAGAAATAGTCTGGGGACGAGTTTTTATTAATGTTTACTGTTTTTGAATACGTTTCGGATCATTGCTATTGTTCATCTAAAATCCGTCTGTAGGGGGACATGCCCGACCGAAGACTGGCCTCCCTAGTACTGTTCCGCCTGCTCGTCCCTGGCTCAAGCCGTCCTTGACTCGAGCCCCGAACAGCACTCGCCTGCTACATAACACGGTGTTCCACACTACCTGAGTCACAGCAGATCCATGGCGCGCGTCGTGAAGTTCTCCCTGGCGACGCTCGCTGTCCTGCGTGCTGGCGCCCTCGACTCGGCAGCGGAGGCGGAGGCGGAGGAGTTCAGCGCCGGGGCCCTGGCAGCGGAGGTTCAGGAGTCGAGTGGCCACAGGGCGTACTTGGACGTCACCGTTGGGGCGGTCAGCGCCGGGGCCCAGGCAGCGGAGGTTCAGGAGTTGAGTGGCCACGGCCACAGGGCCTACATGGACGTCACCGTTGGGGCGGTCAGCGCCGGGGCCCAGGCCGCGGAGGTGCAGGAGTTGACTGGCCACCGCCAGAGGGCGTATTTGGACGTCGTCGCCGGGGCGGTCAGCGCCGTGGCCCAGGATTCGAGAGACCCGGAATGGGGGCGATGCGAGCGGAGACGATGGCTTGCAGCACTGTTTGCCAGCATTTGAGCAGGATTGGCGGTCGGTTTCGCCGCGAACGTAGCCCGTTTAATGGGCAATGCCGCTTGTGCAACAGCAGTCGCTGACGATGTTCTAGACGCGTCGCGGAACCCCAGCAGCCCACCTAGAAACGATGCCCAGGCGAGTTCCCCTGATGAGGCATGTGGGGGAGCACGCAGTGGAATACCCCAAGAGAGGGAGGATCGAGGAGGAAACAGAGGAGGGGGAGGAGGAGGGGGAGGAGGAGGAGGAGGAGGAGGAGGAGGAGGAGGAGGAGGAGGAGGAGGAGGAGGAGGAGGAAGGAGGAGGGGGAGTGGGAGGGGGGGGGGGAGGGGGGAGAGGGAGAGGGGTAGGGGGGTCGATGTTTGGGCCTTCTCGCCGGGGCCTCTTGGGGCGTCTTTGATGCCTCTGGGGGTCCTTTTGGGGTCTCTTGGGGGCGTGGGGGCATCTCCGGGAGGGCAGAATGTGGCCCGAACCTTCTTGAACAGTAATTGATGGTTGCCTTCTCGCCGAGGCCATCGTGGATGCTCCAACGACCGCGGAATCTCCCCTCCAGGTCCAGGGTGAGGGGGTGGGGGAGAGGTAACTCCCTTCCCGAAGGGGAAGAAGGGGTTGGGAGAGAAACGCTCTGAACCACTCATGCCGAGAGGGCTGGTGGGATTCCGGGCATAAGCTGTTGTCGGGCACCGTTCCCACTGCTGCCGTCCTCATTGTGGAGCCTTTCCAAAGGACGCCGAGGTGGATGAGCTCGATGCCGGAGATCGCCCCAAGGGTGCACGCAGGCGGGCCCGTGAGCGCGCGATCGCTGCACAGACCGCGGAGGACGTCGCCAAGACGGGTTGCGCTCAGCTTGGTGGCGACAAGTGGTTCTCGGATGCGCACGGCGAGCTGTTCCAGGTGAAGCAGGACCATTGCTCGATCACGTTCCCGCTGAAGACCAGGACGGGGAAGGTCGAGAAGCGCGGCGTCATCAGGGGGGCCAAGGTGCTTGTGGAGCCGCCCTTCCCCGAGGGCATGGTGGCGGGAGCCAGCGTCAAGTTCGACAATGGCGCCCAGTGGGAGCGCAAGTGGTAGGCGCCACACATGGTCCTGGAGCACCGCCTGCTCCTGCTCCCCTGCTCTACGTTTTCGTGTGTCCCTATCTATATAATGTTTTTGTTTGTCTCTCTCTCTCTCTCTCTCTCTTTCGTTCTCTCCCTGTCTGTTTTATCCCTCTCTCCCTCTCTCTGTGTAGTTATCTATGTATATGCTGTGTCTCTGATTATCAGTCTTTATCTCGCTCTCTCTCTCTCACTCTGTCCTTCTCTGTGTACATATCTATATGTATATACAGATGTATGTGCACATGTGTATCCATCTCTCTCTCTCTCTCCCTCTCCCCCTCTTTCTCCCTCTCAGTGTTGGTTCTCTCTCTCTCTCTCTTGTATAGTTAGATGTGTCTGTATACATATATGCATACATGTGTATGACTGCATGTATGCATGTCTGAATGTATGCAGGCATGGATGTATGCACGTGTATGGTTGTGTGCACACATGCGTGTATATGTGTATGCATGCATGCATGCATGTATGCATGTATGCCTGTATGTATGAATGCATGTTTGCATGCATGTGTGTATGCATGTGTGTATGTATGTATGTATGTAGCTATGCATGTATGCATGCATGCATGTGTGTATGTACGGTTGTATGCATGCATGTATGTATGCATGCCTGCATGTATGCATGCACATGTATGTCTGTCTGTCTGTATGTATGGATGGATGGATGGTTTGATGGATGGATGGTTGCATGGATTCATGTATGTATGTATGTAGGTAGGTAGGTAGGTATGGATGAATGGATGGATGGATGTATGCATGCATGCATGCGTGCATGCATGTATGGATGTATGTATGTATGCGTGTACGTGTGTACGTGTGTTATGCGTGTGTATACATATCTCTCTAAAGTTGTGTATATACATGTATGTATGTATGTATGTATGTATGTATGTATGTATGTATGTATGCATGCATGCATGGATGGATGGATGGATGGATGGATGGATGGATGGATGGATAGATGGATGGATGGATGGATGGATGGATGTATGTATGTATGTGTATATATATATATATGTGTGTGTATGGTTGCCTGTGGCCCATCCCGCCACCGTACCATGGCTTTGGGACAGAGTCCTCCGAGATGCTTCTTAGGGTCTCTTCGGGACGCTCTCGGGTGCCTCTGGCGGGCAGTTTTGGGGTTCTTTGGGAGCCTCTAGAAGGCCTCTTGGGAGCGTCTTGGAGGCCTCTTGGGGGCTTCTTTGGGCCTCTGGGGAGCTTCTTGGGGACCTCTTGGGGCTTCCTGGGGCCTCTCGGGGCCATTTTGGGGCCCTCTTGGAGGGCTCCTCGGCTGTCGTGGGGCGATCGTGGTGGCCTCTTGAGACGTCCTGGAGCATCGGGTCGCCGAAAAGGGGACAACGCCAAAATCATTCGACATTTTTTTTTTTGCGTGTGTGTGGGGGAAGTCAATGATTTGTGCCTCTTGGGGCCCTCTTGGGAGTGCTCTTGTAGGCCTCTCGGGGTGTCTTCGAGGCCTGTTGGGCCACCAGGAAGCCATTGTGGGAGTCTTGGAGCGACCTTTCTGCGATTATGGGCCCTCCCTGACTGTCTGGGCGGCATCCCGTGGCTTTCTTAAACCGTTTCGGGGCCCCTCTGAGCGAGGGGACCGTCCCAGAGGCCCACGCGAGAAACCCCGGCGGCGCCCGATACTTCCCGAGAGCGCCCGGGAGATTGGGGGTCTGGGCTCGTAAGAAATTATCAGCCCTATAGCTGTCGGGGCGGCATGAGCCTTGGGGTTTTCCACTTCGTGCCAGAGGCATGGTGGCGTGTGTGCGTGTGTGTATATTTGTGTGGGTGTATATTTATATATAAGTACATAATTATATGTGTGTGGACTTCATCACATCTCACTCTCTCCCTGTGCTTCCGTGTCTCTCACAGACTTGTTTGTTTTTGTTCTCTCTTTCTCGTCCTAGTTGTTTTGTGTGCTATCTCTCTTTTTTTTTGTCTTTCTCTCTCTCTCTCTCTCTTTCTCCCTCAACCTCGTTTTGGTTGTTTCTCTCTCGCCTTCTCTTTTTTTTGTGTTAGCCAGCGTGGATCAAACAGAGTGTGTTTCTAGCAGCATATGTATTGCAGTCTAGGTGGAGCCAACTATGATGTGCGATACGTGTGCCACAACATTTGTTTGCAACCTGCGTTGTGCATTCGATGTGGTGCGAAGTACGCGGTGCAGTTCACCTTGCCGAACTTGAAGTTGTCAACTCCACTGTTCGCGCAAACATTCCGCCCAGTCGCCCGCAACTTTGTTTGCAGAGCACATGTGACGGCGACTGCGATGAGTGCGTGGCGTTGGCTGATGCATCCCTGCGGCCGCGCTGGCCCGCGCATGCCCGCGCGCGCGGCGACCGGCCACTGCGGCGCGACCGACGGGGCCGCGGCGGCGCTGACCGCTGGTCACTTCCAGCGGACACTTCAGTGCGAGTCGGCGGCGTGGGCGGGCGCGACCTCATAGCGACGCCGACAATCACCACCCACCAAACCACCCCAACCCGACCCGAAGGCTCAGATTCACCCTCGATTTCCAATGGGGGGGGTCGGGAAACATTGAAAAAAACGCATGTGGAACCCTTACCTCCCCCAACCCGAAATTCGGGTGTTCGGGTTGGGTTGAGGTGGTCTGGTAGGTAGTCAGACAACAGTAGACATGATGACAGTAGCGATGATGGCGACGATGGCGGCGATGACGGTGGTGAGACCAAGAACGGCTCCGGTGTTGATCGCGCCCGCCAGTGACGATCACGAAGTTTTCGCGTCGGTGATGAAGGATCTGGAAGGAGTTCGGCATGGATCGCGCCCCCCAGTCCGCCCGCAAGGGTGGCCGGATGAGTTCGACATGCGGCGCGAAAGATCCGTTTGGCAGTTGGATGGCAGTTTTGAAAGATTTATGGTTTCCCCGCGAATGATCCAACGCGCGCGCAAGCATGTTTTGGAAATTGGTGCTGCAATGCCGTATGTTTATACGTTTTCGGAACGCCCGTTTGGGGAACCCGTGCGGCACCGAAGGTGCGGCACACGCGCGCGACGATGTGCGCGCGTGCGTTTGGATACGTTTCTGTTACACGGGACTCTCGTGACAGCACTCGCGCAAGGGCGTTCGAACGTGTTCGACGCGCGCGCGGGAGGTCAATTTCAAAGGATTGCGTGAGCATGTTAAAAAGAAACCATGGCTTTTGCTCCCAACCATCCTGTGGTGTTGGTCCGTCGTTTTGACGAGGCGGTCCCCGCGTCCCTCTTCCCCCCTTCCTCCCCCCTCCCCCCTCCGTCCTCCCCCTCCTCCCTACGTTTCACCCACCAAGGACGGCGCTTCGTGGCCCCATAGGGAGCTCCACCGAAGGCGCCAGTGGCAGGGTTCGCATGGCGGCGTCGGGCCATGTGGGCACACTCCTCACGGGGATCGTGGCCCCGCAAGGAGCTCCAGTGAAGGCCCGGGTGGCAGGGTTCGCATGGCGGCCTCGGGCCATGTCGGCACACCCCTCACGAGGATCGTGGCCCCATAGCAGCTCCACCGAAGGCGCCAGTTACAGGGTTCGCATGGCGGCCTCGGGCCATTTGGGCACACCCCTCACGAGGATCGTGGCCCCACAAGGAGCTCCACCGAAGGCGCCACAGGCAGGGTTCGCATGGCGGCCTCGGACCATGTCAGTACACCCCTCACAAGGATCGTGGCCCCATAGGGAGCTCCACCGAAGGCGCCAGTGACAGGGTTCGCATGGCGGCCTGGGGCCATTTTGGCACGCTCCTCACGAGG